ACAAGTGTTTAAGATTGGAGGTTATTAATTGATCTTTTAATGAAAACCGCAGTCTTCAAAAGAACAGTAATGTGCAGAAAAATAAATTATTTTGTTCTAAAGACTAATTACTACTGAGAAGCTATTCTTTTAATATTCTGTACATACAGTCTCATTCTTACTGGAAAAAAATCCCATCTGCTCTGTTTGCACCTAAAAACAAAATATAATGTTGCTAACATTCTTTCAAATGCAGTCAGAAAATGTTAATATATTTATTTTTATTGTTGCAGCTGCTGTCCTATTGTGATAACTGTCGATTGTGGGAAGAACATCTTCTGACCATTGTAATAGCATGTACTTAGCTCATATGTTTTTTATTGTTTACTTCTTATAAACAATGCTTATATGAGTAAATCAGGTTTTACTTTTTGAATTTATTGAATCCAACAAGCTAACAGTGGGTCAAAAGATGTTTCTCCATCATAAATGGTACAGAAACAGGTACAGTACGCCATCATCAAGTGAACAAGGTTTCTCATCATTTTAATTGATATTTTTCTTGATAATAATTATATAGGAGTGATTAATGAGAACCCCCCTTAAAATACATGATGATGATGTTATCCGGTCAGTTGGATCCGACTCTCGGCGATTCTATAGGCCATCTCTGGCCACGCTTTCCGGTCTTGGACTTTCCCCTTTCAGCTGTTCTATGCCTAAGCCAGTGTCCGTTTTGATGGGGTCGAGCCACTGCGTTCTTTGGCGGCCTCGTGTTCTTGTTCCACCGACCATTGCAAGCATCATTGGCTTCTCCAATGAATCTGATCGCATCATGTTAAAATACATAAGAGGCACCAAATGAGCAATTGCAAGTGTTATAGGTAATATTATATTGTATAATGGAAAGAAAAGAACAAACACCGAAAGTCTTCATGAGGATAAAAAATGTGTTAAACAGAATTCAGGAAGAACAGAATACTTCCTAGATTTCACCTAAAAATACAATACAAATACACTTTTTTGCTTTTTTTTCACAGAAAAATAATTGTTCTTATGGAAATGGAAAATGTTTATTATTTTTGACTATTTTTTGTTTTTTGGGGGATTTACAAAAATGACTGAGTGATTAGGTTTAGTGAATAATAAATCACATAGAAAACCTGGTTTGAATGACTTTTCTGAATACATCAGTAATTGACAGTTCATCAGCTGTTCACTCCGTTTAAGAGCTGGAAGGTATAATAAACAGTTAACATGTTACGAATTTGATGTGTGTGATAACACCATGTCTGTAAGATTAAATTAATGGTGGATTGCTTTTGAGAGTATGACTAAAGGTATGACTAAAATGTTACAAGAGGTACAGGTATGAAAAAAGACAGCAGAGAAAAATAAAGCAAATGTTTTAGTTTGTGTTGTGATCTTTCATGCAAGATTAAACATTACTTCTAAAGACATTAACTCAACACATTTGGAGATTTGGAATTAATAGATGCACAGTGAGATGCACTTTTCAGCCCATGTTCAGTAGTGCTTGCTGATGTGAGGCTTCTCAGGTTCCTCTCCTTTCTTGACAGATATGAAGGCTACTGCCAGTCTCTGGAGCCATGGTGGTATCCATGTTGCACTAGTTCCACCTGGGTTTCTTCAGAGGCACCTGGTATTGGTCAAGGAGAGCTGCAGACCTTCAGTTTAGAACTTAAGAAAACAACATGTATCGTTCATAGACTGATAATAAAACTTTGAATTGCTGTAAACATTCAAGGTAATATCTGGGTTTGGATTGACAGTTGGTTAACAGATAGAAAAATACGTACAGATAAGGAGTGAAAGGTAAATTTGAAGAAATTAGCAGTATACCCCAAGGATCTTTATTATGACTAATAGTCTACCTACTTATATCTGCATTCTGGTAGAACTAGAATTTAGGAATTCAAAAGATTTACATATAATTCAAGACCTGAGAAACACCTGGCAGATGTTTAATACAGGCAAGTACAGAGTTTCACATATACCTTACTGGTATATAATAAAATGAGAAATAATAAAAATAATAATTGCTTACACTTATATAGCGCTTTTTCTGGACACTCCACTCAAAGCGCCTTACAGGTAATGGGGACTCCCCTCCACCACCACCAGTGTGCAGCATCCATCTGGATGATGCGACGGCAGCCATAGTACACCAGAACGCTCACCACACATCAGCTATCAGTGGGAATGACAAGTGGGGAGGAGAGCAGAGTAATGTAGCCATAGAGGGGGATTATTAGGAGGCCATGATTGGTAAGGGCCAATGGGAAATTTGGCCAGGACGCCGGGGTTACACCCCTACTCTTTTCGAGAAACGCCCTGGGATTTTTAATGACCACAGAGAGTCAGGACCTCGGTTTTACGTCTCATCCGAAGGACGGCGCCCATTTTACAGTATAGCGTCCCCGTTGCTATACTGGGGCATTAGGACCCACATGGACCGCAGGGTGAGTGCCCCCTGCTGGCCCCACTAACACCTCTTCCAGCAGCAATCTTAGTTTTTCCCAGGAGGTCTCCCATCCAGGTACTGACCAGGCTCACACCTGCTTAATTTCAGTGGGTTGCCAGTTGTGAGTTGAAGGGTGATATGGCTGCTGGAATGAATGCTGAGTCTGAAAAAGTACCAGGTTGATCATTTTGAAGCATTACTTCTAGTCAATAAGAGCAAGAATAATCTGAATTATTAATCCCTGCATTACACAAAGCATAAAAAAACAGTCCAGAGAGCAGTAAAGTATTGTATTTAATCAGTTTAAACTAATTTCTTGCAGTGCATGAACTTTACAGTAAGAACAGTTACAATACAGTTACAGTACAGAAAGAAGGCAAAAATAACTGAATTTATCATTCTTGAATCATAGAGACTACTTGGAAGTAAATGTAAAACCAATAACAGGTGGTACATTTTTATACAAGCAGTTGTGGGGGACAGGAAGAAGCTACTCAGCTGTTGTTGAAGCTAATACCATAGCTTCTTTCAAGAAATGGCTGTATGAAATCAATTAGCTGCAACAAAATGAGCTAGAAGGCTGTTTCCTCTCATTTGTAGTTTTTCTTAAATTGTAATGTCCACAATTTATCTTTGTAATTTAAAAGTTAACATGATCCCCTTTAAGAGTAATCTTGCCATGTACTCCCAGGATTAGGGACAGTATAATGCTCTGATTAAGTCTTTAGTCTAGTCATCTGGTGGGTTGTGGGTTCATCCCTCTGAAAACCTACTGTTGTACCTTGGCTGAAGTACTTTGCTCTAGTCCATCCATCTATATAAATCAGAATCAACATTGTTGAGGGTAGGTAGAGGGGAAAATCATATGTTCTCTTGTTTGCTTAATGTTATGGAAACCAAGATATTGAACTGATGTTGTTTGGATATGGAAATTACTTACTTATTTACAAGCTTAAGATATTGGGGGCACAATCAAAAGGAAAAAAATAAATGTAGAAGAAATAGACATACAGTAAATACAGTATTTCTCAGAGATTTTCTTTTGAAATCTAAAAGTTGATAAAGATTCATATCAACAGTCTCCAAGTCTCATCCTTAGGTATTCATGATGTTCACTAAGCAATAATTCAGGTAGTGAAGAAATGCAATTAGAATGTTCAGTGGTTTCTGCAGTCATATTTTTAAAGTATCATGCTGTGCATAGCAGTTGGTATTTAAAGAGCTCTGGGTAAGTACTTAGAAGCATTCTCATACAATCGGCAGCATGGTAGAAGGAGTTTCATATTTATATTCCTCTATTAAGTGATGTTTTGACACAGATGCTATTAAAGTATATAATATTTAATGCTTGCCTGGATGTTTAAGGGGATTAGCTATAAATGTGAAATAACAGTGTTTGTTTTTCTTTATAATTAATGAAAGTGCTTCTGAAGCATAGCTTTTGAGTTTCAAAATTCCTAAAACTTTGTTCTATTAAATGCTGCAGGAAATTGGATATCCATGTTTTCTAAGGTACAGAGAAAGGCGCGTGATAAAGATTGTGAATTTCACTGTTTCCCACAGTAATGGTTGTGGAGATCCATCACAGTCAACTGCACCAGCATTAGGTAGGCTGTCTGCCAACTGCTGCCAATACCTCACAGAGCTGCAGCTCTTGAAGTGATGAATTACCCAGGAAAGTCTCTGCTGCACAAGGAGATGGCCTCCATAGCCAATTGTTATTTCATGGACTTTGAAACTCCCCTTTTGATTAAAACAATCAAAAAGGAAATTAGTCCTTGAGATCCTTTGATTTCTGTATCCACAAGTGAATGAGCACTAATAGGTATTTAGGTGACTCGAACAGATAATCATAAACATAAATGAATTGCTGTGTCATTATGTGTTAATCTTAATCATGCCAGGGTCAGAAATGAAATGAGGAGGGAATTAAAGTAGGCTAGACTGAGGAAGACTGAAATAAATTTTAATCAGGACACGAGGGTTAGTATCTCTACCATTACAAATACGCATTCTTTATATTTCACATTTGTTAACCCCCTTCATTCCCAACACTTTTTCTATTATTGCAGTTTCCAGCAATGGTTGAAATTCACTTGATACGTTTTTTATTTTACATTAAAAAAGATGTGCATTAATGGTATTGGGTAAGAATATTTTAAAATATTTATTCTTAACAGAATCTTGTTGTCTACTTTCTAGAAGTAGACTAACATCTTAATCCATTAACCAATCTTTAACCATTACTTTAAAATCATTGCGTGTACTTGTCCATCTTGGAACTTTCCATAAGTAGTCAGAGTTTTGCTAAATCGTTGGATGAATTTTGACATCCAGTATTGTTTTTTTATTTATACATAGCATTTATTTATTTTTTAAAGTTTGTCTTGTAATGTCATGAATCAGTACTTAAGAAAAAGTTACATAAAACAGAGTCCTGATCTGGTATACTCTTAAACAGTATTATAATTAATTAATGAAATGAGAAAAAATCTATGTCAGTAATGATGACTTTTTATATATACTGTTTTTCCAGTTCCGCCAACAATATTGGAAATGAAATATGCTGGAGTGGGTCTGGGACGCACTGCACTCCTAAGGTGTGAAGCAGCTGCTGTACCCTCTCCGGTGTTCGAATGGTACAAAGGTGAAAGAAGGTACGTGTTTGATCAAATAGTCAAATAATACAACTTCATTGACATTTTAGTTGCTATTTCATATATTTTCTGAGATTATTAATATTATTGTGCTCCTGACATAAATGTTATATTAACTGTGTATAAATAATGCACACTCACTGGCCAATATATTAACAATTAATTCCCATTAGCTAATGTGTTGAGCTTCTTAACCTGCAAGGTTTTGAAATAACAGCTCAATATCATATTCTAGAATTTAGAATTGCCTTCAGCTGAAACTGTGATAAGTGTGTACTAGTGAATTTCATGTTCCTCCATTATTTAGCAGAACTAAGATAAGGTGATTATCCTGACCAGGTCTGGTAATGTACTGTAAGTTTGGCTCCTCAACCATACAGTGCGAGCCATTTAGGGAGACAATTAATTTCATTTAGGTTTCATAATATTTTGACCAGTGTTCAGACTGATCCTCATATTACGAGTTAATTGAATGATTAAAAGAGAACAAACACTTAGCTTTATCAAAGACAATGTACCATCAAAACTATTATTGAACTGTAAAAAGGCACATGTAGATCAGTGCAAACTAAAACATTAAGTAAAGAAATAATGAAATTCTACTTAATTAGTGGTCATGTCCTGGTTTCTACATAAAATTAAGAATAAAAACGGGTATTGCTTTGTTTGCGTCTGACCATTTTATAGGAGATGATTGGGAAAGTTTGTTTGAAGGATGATTAAGTGGGATAACCTTTGCATCCAACGAACTCAAAGCCTTCACCCTGCATTTTAATTGTTTGGATAACATGAATGACCTGCTAAGAACATCTATAGTACATAGAGCAATCAGTATAAATCTAAGTAGCTGCTCTTAAATTGGAACACTAAATTACCCCCATTAACCATCACTTAACCACTCCTTAGAAACTGAAATTTGGTTCATACAGCACTAATTGTAATTATAGGATGTATTAAATTCCTCTAAATTGCTAAGTTAGCATGATCAGCAGGAGTCTCTTGTTTACATCATTATAGCTGGACACTATAAGCTGGAAATACTTAAAATTTCCTTTTTAAAATTAAATTTGGAAAGTATACAGTAATTGACTTCTAAGCACTGATAAGATGATACATGCTACAAAAGTATTTTTATTGTCTATGCATGGGCCTTTTCGTGGTCAAGTTACAAGGGCTCAGCCCTAAAAAAATAGAATGTGTCAAAGGAATTACAGTATTTAGTATAACAACATTAAAATATATCTCCATTATCAATTTTTCTTTTTCTGGAAAAGGGTGCCAGGAATATTTAAAACTCCACACACAAGGTATTCCAGTCCAAAATCAAGTTTTACTTTGAGTTTAAAATCATTCTAGTGAAACAAATGGATATAGATAGATAAATACAGATGTAGCTTTTTGTAGAAAGAGAAAGTGATGCTCCTGTATTTTGTATGAATTCCTGCTAAATAATACATGACTCTATAATAAAGTTATTGGATGTTATAAACATTTAGTTTTTATTTACATGGATTGTCTGAGATTTATATTGACTTCATTCATATACACTTCATCTTCTTATTAATGTGAAAAGGATTATGTGGCATTCAAAAAATCAAATGTTACAATGTTCAGAGAGTATTAAAGTGGATGTATACAAAAGAAGAAACTAAAGTGAAAGAAAGAGGAAAGGGGAGACAGCAGACTGTAGATACAGTGGAAGAGGGATAATACACAAACCATTTCATGTTCTTGTGTGATGGCTACTGATTTGGTTGCTTGAACAGCAGATTTGGTAGCATGAAAAGCATAATTGAGTGGTGGAAGCAGAGAGTTCAAGACTGGGGATATTAACAGAAGAAATATTTTATAGCATTTTTTGTAGCAGTCTTATTAATGAATTTTATGAACTTGATTGTTAAGTCTGGCTATGGGTGCTACAGCTTCTTGTGTTGTAGTAACTGCATTACATTGAATAATGATTTAGATATTTTAAAAACATATTAAATGTTTTGAATATACAATCTAAGTGTATAATAGCATCACTCAACATGGAGTGATACTATTACACACTTAGATTGTATATTTGGAACATATAATACACAACAATTAGGCCTTATGGTAACCCCTTTATTCTTTTTGGAATAATCTGATGCAGGACTGCACAGCTGCCAGGCACAGTGAATCATTAAAGTACTGCAGCTGCATGTGGTTGTCAGTTCAGTATTAAATATTTATTAAAACTTTTATTCACCCATTAGTTCTTTCCTGGGCTAAACATACTGCATAGACAAGACAGGATGTTGTTACCATGTTGCTATAACAACTCCAAATGAGATATGCTTCAATTCTGTACAACACTAACAGAATTATATATTTTAGATTTTATACAGTACATAGAATTATTAGTAACTGTGTATAAATAGTAATTAGAAAGCAGATAATTTTGCCTTGGAGATAAATAATGAAATATATATATATTGCAAAAACAAATTAACATGTCAAAAAAGATGCCAGATTAAAATGTTTTGAGTAGTATTTTGAAAGTCTTTGTTGCATAATGTACAGTAAATTGTATGTAGCTTATACAGGTCTCCACTACAGTATACAGATGCAACCATTCAAAATTCACAACCCCGTACCACGCAAAATTAACAACAGTTCACCACGTTGTACTGCAGTACGTAATTGGCTGGCCAAAATGACCAACAGGGGCACTCGTGGTGCATTGGTAGTTAGCGAAACAATTTAAACATTTAATCTCTCTACTCTGCATGTTTAAATCCACTTAATATTGAATATTTATATGGAATTTTACAACTGAAGTGAAATTTTAGTAGCTGAGGAGAAGAAGAGGAAGCATAACGCATCTGAAGGTCGTACATTATTTTAATTCAGGAACATAAACATATTCTGTAATTCCACTTTCTTCCTGAACAATTTAACCATCAAAGTTTGGTTTCATCCAGTCTGTCGGTAACATACTGTGGTTATTTTGGAAAAGTTTTTACGTTCTCCTTCTGAATATATTAAGTTTATATACTTTGTAAAAAGTTATAATGTTTTAACCTTTCCTATTAATATTTACGCTCGTTATCGCCGTAAAAAAATGGATACTTTTTAGAATTTGATTAATAGGGAATATAATATGGAATCACGTATCTAAAGAAATTAATTACGATATAATTATATTCATATAGCTCAAATTATCGCAGTAGTACACTTTCTTTGTAAATGTCTGCATTAGTTTAACCTGTAATTATGTGT